AAAATGGAATTACAGATAGTTGTGAGCAGCCTGATGTGGGTGCTAGAAATCAAATTCAGTTTCTTTGCAAGAACAATATTCATTCTTCTTTGCTGAGCCATTGCTCCAGGCTTAGAAATTTATTAATTAACTCAGCAAATATTTGTTGAGCTCCTAGGCACCCACCACATATATTTTTTAGAATAAACTAAAGTAGAAAAAGATCAAATATTTTAAAGTAAATAAATATGCTAGATTACACAGTAATTGGAGAAAGTAGACAGACAATAGCAAGGAAGGGGAGAATATAGGAGCAACCCTTGGCCCAGCTCCCAAGAAGCACCCAGTCTAATGGGCAGGGAGAGAATAAACCAGCTCTATCGTTTCCCTTTCTCCCCATGTTGATCCAGTACTTCACAAAGGGGCTTCTTTTCCTAACAGACAGGGTTTCTCTGTGTAGCTTTGTAGACCAGGATGGCCTCAAACTCACAGAGATTCAACTACCTCTACCTCCCAAGTGCTATGGTTAAAGGTGTGCGCCACCACTGCCTGGCCACTGAAAAGTTTTGATGGCTTCCTACTGTTAGTCAATCAAGTCAAACTCTCCAGGGTGAAACAAGAAGAAACAGAACATTCAAAGTCTTCCACAAACCAGGTGTGTAGCATAAACCTATAATTCCACAACTCTGAAGAGAAAGAAGGCAGGAGGATCTCAAATTCATCACTAACCTGGGCTCCATAAAGAGAAGCTGTCTTAAAACAAAATAAAACAACAAACAACCAAAAAGGTCTTCCATGATCCACTAGTAAATGCACAAATTAGGAAGACAGGGTGTGCAACTAGACTGTCAGAATGCAAATTTATTATCAATTGCTACCTATATTTTTTTCTTAGTCTATAAAAAGGGGTTTAAAAAACCAGAAGCTTCTTCACTAAGTTATTATGAGGACCAAATAAAATGCACTTTGTGAAATGCTCAGCACCTAGTTACCAAACAGTAACCATGCCAAAATATGAGTCCTACCACTCCTTTTAAAAGTTTTACCTATCATTTTTGCTGCCATTCAATCTTCATTTCGAGCCTTATCTCCAAAAACACTGTGTAAAAGCCTGTTTTCCAGACAAACGGAACTCTTATTTGGTGTGTGTGTGTGTGTGTGTGTGTGTGTGTGTGTGTGTGTGTGTGTGTGTGTGTGTGTGTACACATCAGAGGACAACTATTTTTGGTCACTTTTCTCCTACTTTAAGGTGGGTTCTCGGGCAAGTGCCTTTATATGGTAAGCTGTCTCACAAGCCCCAAACTAGACTCTTACCATCCCTTAAGCACATACCACTATACTCATGATTCATCAGTGTATCATCTTCATGTACTAAGATCTCACCATTCTTGAGGTTCTATCTCAGCTCCACAATACATTACAGACACTCATCACACAAATTCTGCTATATTCATCTTGGTATATTGTAGACTCAGCAGTGTAGAGTTGTAGCCAGCTTGTAGCATTCATGGTAACTCATAATAAAATGTTCAAAAAATAAATTCCTGCTTCCTCTCTCTTGTGGAACTGTTAAGACAATCGCTCCATATCACAAGCACAAAGACCTCTTTTGCAATATTTTGTAAAGTGGGTTAGCAAGTTCTCTATCACCAGTGTGGTAATTTCTAATACAGCACAGTACCCAAAGCACAGTAAATGCCTAAATATTCAGGGAGTTGAACTGAATTTCACCTCATCTTATAAATTAAATTCTCATTTTATTCACTGTGTTCAAGTACAGTTCAGCCTTTCAAATATATTTTAGTATTTAACCTGCCCATAAACACATGTCTATTTTCAGTTATTCTGACCTTATCTCATTTGCTTTTTCCTGATTAGGAGAGACAATATCCAAAATTCCAAAAAAAAGGAAGAATCAGAAAATTAAAAGTCTATAAAACTACAAAATGAAGCAAGAGTCCTGCAGAGCACAAAGAACTAGAAAATATGTCTGCCTACAAGTTCTGCTGAGTTTTTCTATGAAAGAATATGAGCTTGGTGTTGACAGATCTTCCAAGTTTTCAAGACAAGTCAGAAATTCACAAGTTTGTATAAATTTTAAAGACATTACCAAGAAATTCCTTCCAGTCATCTCTACCTAGCTCTCAATTATTCTGAGCTAACCTGAGAGCCAAATACATGTGACAATTTATTTAACTATGGTGAGTCCCTACTCAGTGCCAGGTGCTGGAAAATGAGACATGAACAGTAGCTATAAATAGCAGCTAACATTTATTGAACATTTTGTAGGTGCCAGGCACTGTTCTATGTGTTACAGGAATGAATTCAATCCTTTTTAACAACTGTACTAAGTGAGTACTACTATCTTTATTTTAAAGATGAGGAAGCTAAGGTAAAAAGTTACAGAAATCTGTTCCAGGTCATGCAATTAGTAAACAGCTGAAATCAGGACCTTAGATCACACCCAAAAACTTATCATTTGAAAGCAAGTGCTATTCAGTATTTGGTACTGAGATCACTGATTATACATGGATAAAATAATGAAACTGCACCTCACCTCATCCCACATACAAAGTGGATCAGAGATCTAAATATTAAAGGCAACACAGTTGAGATTCTAGAAGATAATGTACACAGTAACTTAAAAACCTTGGAGGAGGAAAAGACTGATACAACTGACAGTAAAATTCCAAACTTTTAGCAAACTTAGATAGATTTATTTTAATTTATTTATTTAAATACTTTTATTTTATGAGTATGATTGCTTTGCCTAAATGAATGTATGTGTACTACATGTATGCAGTGCCCATGGAGACCAGAAGAGGGCACTGGATTAGACTGTTGTAAATTGCAAAGTAGGTGGGAAAGAACCTTGATAATGTGCAAGAGCACTGAGAGCTCTTAACCACTGAGCCATCTCTCCAGCACCCGCTCACTTTTTTGTTTTTCCCAATGCTAAGGATCAAGCCCAGGCACTGAGTATGCCAGGCAAATTCTGTCATTCAGCTATGTATTCTCAACTTTCAGAGTTTTAAAATATATTACAAACTGGGAAATGACATCTGTAATACATATATAAGGTTTAATGATTAGAATATGTGAAGAAACACTGCCAAAAATAATACAATAGGAAAATATATAATCTAACTGAATAAGCCCCAGCTAGGTGTAAATTGTGTAAACCTAACACTACCACAGTTAATCCATTCAGCAGACTCTGGAACAATCAATTTGCTATCACTGAACAATAAAAAAATATTCAGGGATCCATGCCATGGTGCAGGCACTACAGAGGGAGGGAACCCAGCCAGAAGAGCAGGAGTAAGATGGCAATTCTCCACAGCATAGAAACTGGACAGCGAAGCAGAGGGTGAATAGCTAATGCACCAAAACTAGATCAAGGGTTGCAGAACCTTAAAAAAAAAAGGTATTTTCAACTCTGTGAGCTGATATAAATTCTCTGCCATAAATGCTCAGTTCTGTCACTAGAAGCTCTTACAGCCACAGATGCTGCATAAATGATGATGGTTACTCCAATGAAACATTACTTACAAAAACAGGTGGTTGACAAGATTTGACCTATGAGCTAGTTTGGTGAATCTTAACGTAAGAAGCTATAATTCCTACACTCTACAACACTTTCTGCATCTTATTTTACTTTTTATGTCTGCTGACACTTCTAATTCTTCTAAGCAAAAACTATACTACACTTAACAGCTTTTGAATGGTAAAAAACCAAACAAATAACAACAAAAACTCTAACTTATTATCTGTGACAATTTTCTGTTCATCTTTATTTCAATGAAAAAAAAAAGTGTTTTTGACAATCATCATCCAAACTAGAGTTTAAAAATGCTCCCTTATCAATCACAGTATCAGTTATCAATACCTAGAATGCCTAACTCTGCTCAATGTCCACTCTGAACCTTAATTTGGGACTTTATTATTTCTTTCCTTTCTCTTCAGTCTACTGTTCCTATCTCAAAAGAACATCCATTGTGCTGGGAAGCTAGCTCAGTCCTTAAAGTTCTTGTTTTCCAGGCATGAGGACCTGAGTTCCATCCCAGGAACCAATTAAAACAAAACAGACAACAACAACAAAAAAATAGGCATAGAGGCAACATGCCTGCAATCTCAGTGCTGAAGAGACAGAGACAGGCAGAATCCTGGGGTTTGCTGGGCAGCTAGCCAACTCTACTTGGCAAATTCCAGGCCATCAAGAGAACCCAGGGAGGGAGGGAGGGAGGGAGGGAGGGAGGGAGGGAGGGAGGGAGGGAGGGAGGGCAGGCAGATATGGATGCATGCAAAGTTAAACAGTGCCTGAGAAATGACAATGGAGATTGAATTCTGGGTTCCACATATATGAGCACACATGTGCATACACATACACACACACACACACACACACACACACACACACACACACACAAAGAGCACCCATTCACCTTTTAAAAATTAGCCCTTATAATATACCCTCCTCTCTACACTCCCCAGTCATGTCTTTAACAGCTTTCCTCATCCTGTCTCTCACCATACTTGCACATACACTGTGCTCCACCTTATTCAAGGCACACATCAGATCCGTCACTACATCTTTTTTATTTTTATTTTTTGAGACAGGGTTTCTCTGTTGTTTTGGAGGCTGTCCTGGAACTCGCTCTTGTAGATCAGGCTGGTCTCGAACTCACAGAGATCCGCCTGCCTCTGCTGGGATTAAAGGTGTGCACCACCACTGCCCCGCCCATCTTACTTTTTAATGTGCTGGTAAGAGAGTAAATAAAGGGCTTGGAAGATGGCTCAGGTGGTAAAGTGCTTGTCCCACAGGGCATAAGGACCTGAGTTCAGAACCCTAGTCCTTACATACAGGCAGGGTGCTAACAGTGCACATCTGTAACTCCACAGCTAGAGGGTGAAAACTGGCAGATCCCTGAAGATCTTGACTAGTCAGCCTAGCTGAATCAGTAAGCTCCAGATTTAGTGAGAGACCCTGTCTCAAAAATAGAAATGGGTGGGCCTATAAAATGGCTCAGCAGGTAAAGGCACTAGCTGTCAAGCCTGATGACCTGAGTTAATCTGGCAGACCCACATAAGTGGAAAAAGAGGAGTGATTCCACACACATGGCCCCACACTCACACAAATAACTACAGAGAATAAAATGTCAAGGTAAAAAAATAATAAGGTAGAGAAGCAATCAAGAAGAAAGACATCCAAAGTCATCCTCTGGTCTCCCCATGCATATGCACATACTTGAATAAGTACTACACACACACACACACACACACACACACACACACACACACACACACACACACACACACACACACAGAGTACAAGAGGGGATAGTTCAGTATTATAAGCTTACCTAGATTGAGAAAGATCCTGAGCTCAAGCCCTACCACCACATTCACAAAAAGGCATGTGTACATTATACATTAGCATAAACAATTTCTACACTTAGTAACTATTTGAACATAACTGGTTTTCTTTGTAATCAATGTCATTTACTTTATACAATTAAAAATATTATCTTGAGAGATCCATGCTATAGGGGTCATGGCATCTATAAGATTAGATCTATCTGCATTCAAAAGACCTAGAAAAATTGTTTCTGAATATACATGTGGTTTTGAAAATCCTTACATTTTTCTATTAAAAGTCCCTCCCCATCCCTTTTGTGCTGGGAATAAAGCCAAGGCCCTTATACTGTATGCTAGGGAAACACTATAATGCCAACATCTGAAAGGCTGCTTTTTTTCCTCCAGAGACAGGGCCTTTACTCTATGGCCCAGAAACTTCAAGCTCTCCTGTCTCAATCTCCTATGTGTTGAGATTATAGATGTGAACCACCATGCCTGGCTTGTAAGGTTTTGTTTCGTTTTTTAATTATGTGGAGTCCTGTATTGTCATTCCTTGGTATATCCATGGGTAATGGATTCTAGGATCTCCTAGGATATCAAAATCATTATATAAAGTGGTATGATACTTGTGTATCCCCTATACCTGTAATAGCCAATAAAATGTAATGTCATGTAAACAGTTGTTAAGCTGTTTAGTTTAGGGAATAATAATAAGAAAAAATAATAGTGACAAAGAAAAAACCCTGTATGTTTAGCACAGATCCATTTTTTTTTAAATGAATGCTTCCAATCCGTGATTGGTTGAAGCTATAGACGCAAAACTCAGGAACAGTAAAAGTCAACTATATATCACTGGCTAATTTATCCATTTGAACTCTTAATTCCCTATTATAACAGAACTTCAATTAAAGTAAATATGAGGGGGACCCTAGGTCTCTATCATTCTTTTTTTTTTCTCTCTCTTTTAGGCTTTTTGTGTTCTTTTGCTGTGCAATAAATATCTAGACAAGGGGGAGCATTTTTTTAAACTCTAGAAAGAGGTTCTTTCTTGATGTTTTCTTTTTTTGTACCCATGGAGATATAGGAAATATCCAATAATTGATTATCTATACACTTTTGTATCCCACTCAGGCTTTGTACTGACAAACTTGTTAAAACAAAAATTAATGACTCTCTAATAACTTAATGGAGTTTGACTTAGCAACTGAATGAGGAAGCCTTAGTCCATATCCAGGAGCCTCTGTCACCAATGCGAACTATCTTAGGAAATCAATTACCTTTCTATGTTTCAGGCTAAAATCACTACTTGATCTGAAACCATGGCATGATCTGTAAAGCCACCGTAGTTATTACATATTCGTTCTTCACCATTCTAACTAGTTTCAACAAGACCTTTCAGATGACCTCCCCAGGTGACCCTGCTCTTTAAGTAGTGGCTGTCCCCTTCCAGGAAACACACTTTGGGTCACCGCCCCCAAACAGCCGGGTCCCTCCTTTTAAAGACAACTCCTTAAGTTGATGGAGGGTCTCTCCTACCAGTTCCACTCTGTACCTTTTGCTGTCCAGCTCCAACATCCAACCCCTGCCTGCCACCCTTTCTTTCCTCCTCAAGCTTCCCTTTTCCTGTTGCTGCCTCCATCGGGACCAGAGGCTCCTCAGGGCTCACAGGTCCGGAGACCCTTGGGAGTCCTAAAGACTGGCCATCCAACGCCAGGACCCTTCCAGTCTGATCCCCGCGTCGGTACCCCACTCTGATACCCGAGTTCGCAACCCCCATTTCTAAGCAATCACCTCCAGCGCACGAAAAGAACTACTCCAGCCCTGACAGCCAGGACTTGGCCCCCAAGCTGCCTCCCCTACCCCTGGGTGCTGCTCTGGGGTTCGGAACGCTGCGCACGGCCTAACCCAACCCGCCACCCTCTCTGCCCACCAACCCCAAAGCCGGTCCCGTCCGCCCCTCGGGTCTTTTTCTCCGCGCCCCCAGCCTCGACCTCACGCCCCGCTGAAACCCGCTCCCGGGCCGCAGCGCCACCCCGCGCAACCCCCGGCCGCCTTGCACTCCCGCAGAGCCCCGACCCCGCACCCTCCCCACCGCGGCCCCGCCGCTCCCGCCCGCGCCCCGCCCGCAGGCCCCGGGCCCGCTCCCCAACATGGCGACGGGGACACGAGCGCGGCGGCGGGTGGGGCGGCTGCGGGCCCGGGCCGCACTCGGGCCGAGCTGCACGGCCGCCCGGCGCCATCTTCGCGCGCCAGGCCCGGGCGGCGCCTCCTCCCCACGAAGCCAGCCGGGCCGGGCCCGGGACGCTCAGCAGGCCCACCCCTTACGGGCCAGCGTCGCCGTCGCCTCACCTGAGCGCGGCCCCGGCCCTCCCGGGCGGGCCTCGCAGCGCCGGCCCGGGCCGTGCGTGCCCGGCGCCCTCGGCGCGTCCGTCCGCTGGTCCTCGCGTGCGCCCGTCCGTCCGGCTGTCGGCGCCCGGCCGCCCGCAGCCCGACCCGGCAGGGCCTCAGGGAGCCGGTGGGGAGGGGGGGGATGGGCCGGACCGGGCCGGGGAGGGAGGGGGAGGGAAGGAGAGAGGGAGGGAGCGCGGCGGGGGCGGGGCGGGCCCGAGGGGCGGGGCCCTGTCCACGTGACCGGGCGTCCCCTGGCGCGCAAGGTGGAGCGCGCGAGCTAGATTGCTAGCGAGCATGTGAGCTGCGGTGCTGGGTCCGATCTTAGTACGGTTAGATGTTCTGCGCTGTCCCAGCTATGTATGCTGCGCAACACTCCACGCCTCAGTTTGCTCATCTCAACGATGGGGATAATAGTATTTCCTTGCAGAGGAAATGAGGGAAAGGCTTGGAAAGCGTCTGATAACTGACGACAAAGATAATCTTTATTGTCCTAATATTTTTTTTCCTACTTCGTCCCACCGCCCTAGCAAACTCTGTAGGTGCTCACAAAAAAGAACTGTTGAGTGAAAAAGTGTAGGCGGGCCTCTGGTTTCCTCTCTTCCCAAAGCAGGGAAGTGTTCTTAGCACCGGGCTGAGCCCGGAGTCACTTAAATCACTTCTCACCCCTTAGCTTCATGATTTTCTTTACCTCTGTGTACCTCAGCTTCTTCCTCTGTAAGGGACGGTTGGGGCAGGTGGATTCTAACGACTCAGTTACATTGTCTCATCTAAGAGAGGAGTCTGGAACCCTTTCCACGGATATTTATTGAGTACAAACTGTGCACGTAGACTGGTATGGGAACCACCCTTACCGCCACCTCCAGCATGCCCCACTAATATTTTTCTTGCTAGTAATATTCCTCAGTCGGAATTCTGAGCGTGCCACTCTCCTAAAAAGGATTCAACAGAATCTAGGCGTGTGTGTGTGTGTGTGTGTGTGTGTGTGTGTGTGTGTGTGTGTGTGTGTGTGTGATGAAAGCTGCAGAGTGAGAACTATTTGAGGGGAAAAGGGATGGGAGAGTAAAGGTAATGTGAGGTAACTAAACGTGATATGCATGTATGAAAATCTCATGATGAAAACCATTAATTATTTTAAAGATCTATTTTTATGAGTGAGTGTTTTACCTGTTTGTATGTAGCACATATGTACATATGTTCACCACGTGTATGTATGTGTACCACACACGTGTGCCTGGGGCCTGTGGAGGTCAGAAGAGGTGGTGGGTCCCCTGAAACGAGTTACAGAGAGTTGTGTTGTGAGCTGTCATGTGGGTTCTGGGAGTCCCCGGGTCCTCTGGAAGAGTGGCTAGTGCTTTCAAATACTGAGTCACCTCTACAGTCCCTAAAATCATTTTTTAAATTAAAAAACCCAGACAAGAAAGATGGATTAGTGGGTAAAAGCTCTTGTTTACCAACCCTGACAAGCTGAGCTCCCTCAGAAGCTCACATGATGGAGACAAGTTGTCTTCTAGCCTCTTAGCATGTGTATGCCTACACACATGTGTACATGCATACACACACATTAAGTTTTTAAAAATATTTTATTTGGTATATGAGTACTTTGCCAACGTGTGTGTGTGTGTGTGTGTGTGTGTGTGTGTGTGTGTGTCTGTGTGTGTACCATGTGCCTACCTGGTGCTTGCCTGTGGAGGCCAAAAGAGGGCATTGGATCTCTTAGAACAGCAGTTATAGATGTTTGTCAGCCACCGTGTGGATATAGGGAACTAAGCCACTGAACTATCTAATGCCATACAGTCATTTTTTGCTGTTATATATAATTTAATGTTATGTATTTCTTTTTATTTCACATTTTTTTCATTTACATAACAACCCCAGTTCCCCCTCCCTCCTCTTCTCCCACTCTCCCCCACCTTCCCCCTTCCCACCACTCATCCACTCCTTTGGGAAGGCAACAAAATCTGGCACACCAAATTGAAGCAGGACCAAGCCCCTTCCTGCTGCATCAAGGCTGAGCAAGGTGTCCTACCATAGGGAATGGGCTCCAAAAAGCCAGTTCATGCTCCCGGGATAGGTCCCGGTCCCACTGCCAGAGGCCCACAGACAGACCAAGCCACACAACTGTCACCCACATTCAGAGGGCCCAGTTCAGTCCCGTGCAGTTTCCCCAGAGGTCAGTCCAGAGAATGTGAGCTCCCACTAGCTCAGGCCAGCTGTCTCTGTGGTTTTTCACATCATGATCTTGATGCCCCCTCCTTGCTCATATGATCCCTCCTCCCTCTCTTCAACTAAGCTCCAGAGGCTCAGCCCAGTGCTTGGCTCATACAGCCATTTAAAAAATGTAATTAAAAATGTTGAACCCATTCAATGTCTCTTCATTTCTCTTCAGCTAAGGACAAGCGAATCTCTCCCTGCTGCAGTCACTGCATCACCAGTCTCATTTTGGGGTCCCCTTTCCTTCCCTCTGGCTCCCTGTACATGCTGATCCCCCTGCCTGAGACTCTCTCCCACACAGACAACCTTCACATCCCCGGTCAAACATGGCTAGCTCACGGATATGATCTCTCTTTGCACAGATTCTCTTGGCAGCATGGACTTACCAACTGACTGCACTAGATTGTTTATTATCTTTGCCACTAGGCTGGGCTCATTACGTTGGCTGCTGTTTCTGCTGTTAATAGCACAATGTCTGGTAGAGAGTAGGTATTGAGTGAGTATTTATGTGAATCATATGTGTCATTCTATGTACTAGGCTCAAGACCTTAAAAAGATGGAGAGCCACAGGTAAGTCACAAGGATCTCATTTATGTAGCCCTGTCTGGCCTTGAACTCAAAAGACTCAAGTGCCTCTGCCACCTCAATGCTGGGATTAAAAAGCATGTACAATCACTCCCCAGAATTTCCTTTTTTAAAAAAATAACTTTTTATTATGGTATATGGTATTAAACATAATGGTTTAATTATGACATTTTCATATTCATGTATATTATACTTGGCTCCTATTTACTCTATGTCATTCTCTCTTGTACATTCTCCTTCCTCTCTCTGGCCCTCTTTCTCTTCCCAAATAGTCCTCTTTCTATTTGTGTATCCTTTTTAAAAAAATCTAAATTCCACACGTGAGAGAAAACATCCAATATTTGTCTTTACTGAGTCTGGCTTATTTTGTTTAACAAAATGATCTCTAGTTGTAATCATTTTCCATCAAATGACATTGTTTTATTTTTTATTTTTATTTTTTAGTTCATTTTAACTTTACATGCGTGTATCTAGGGAGAGGGTGCTTGTGCTTCTGTGTGTGTGTTGGGGGAAGGGTGTCCAAAGAATCTAGAAGAGGGCTTCAAATTCCCTAGAGCAGTTGAGCTCAGGTCTTCTGAAAGAGAAGCTAGTGCTTTTAACTGCTGTGCCATGTCTCCATCACCTATTTTTACTTTTATTTTTTGAAACAGGACATTTCTATATCCCTGGCTATCCTAGACCTTTTGGCCCCAAACTCATGGAGATCTGGCTGCTTCTGCCTCTCAAGGACTGGGATTAAAAGTGCACTTCTGTATTCAGTTGATTTCATTCTTTTTATGACTAAATAATAATTATGTATGTGCAAGAACTTGGGATTCTAGACTGATTACATAGCTTGGCCATTGTGAATAATACCACAGTGAATATGGGTGTGTGGGCATCTCTGTTGTATACTAACTTCAACTCTTTTCTCTTAATTTCTTCATTTATTTTTTACATTCCAATCCCAGTTTCCCCTCCCTCTTCTCCTCCTGTTTCCCCAACTCTCCCATCTGCTTCTCTAAGAGGGTAAGGCCTCCCCTAGGAAGTCTACTAAGTCTGTCCCATCATCTTCTCGAGGCAGGATCAAGCCATGCCTAGGCTGAGCAAGGTATCTCTCCATATAGAATGGGCTCCATGAAGTAAGTTTGTGCATTAGAATTAGATCTTGGACCCACTGCCAGTGGCCTCATATATTGTCCAGGTCGCACCATTGTCACATATATTAAGGGAGTCTAGTTTGGTCTTAAGCAGGTTCCCCATTTGTCAGATTGGAGTCAGTGATCTCTCACTAGCTCAGGTCAGCTAATTCTGTGGGTTTCCCAATCGTGGTCTTGACTCCTTTGTTCGTATTATCACCCCTCCCTCACTTTGATTGTACTCCAGGAGTTTGGCCCAATGGTTAGTTGTGGATTTCTGCATCTGCTTCTATCTGTTTCTGGAAGAGGGTTCTAACTTCCCTGGGGTTGTGGATTGTGTCGGCTGGGTATCTTTTGCTTTATGTCTTGTATCCACTTATGAGTAAGTAAATACTATATGTGTCTTTCTGGGTCTGGGTTACCTCCTCAATCAGGATGGTTTAGTTCTGTCCATTTGCCTGCAAATTTCAGGATGTCATTGTTACTGCTGAGTAGTATTCCATTGTGTAAATGTAAAACATTTTCTTTATCCATTTTTCTGTTGAGGGACATCTAGGTTGTTTCCAAATTCTGGCTTTTACAAATAATGTTGCTATGAACATAGTTGAGCAAATGTCTTGTGGTGTGAATGTGCCTTCTTTGGGTATATGCCCAAAAGTAGTGTTGCAGGATCTTGAGGTAGGTTGATCCCTAATTTTCTGAGAAATAGACATACTTATTTCCACAATAAGTGCACAAATTTGCACTCCTACCAGCAATGGAGGAGTGTTCCCCTTACTCCACATCCTCTCTGGCATAAATTGTCGTCAGCGTTTTTTATCTTAACCATTCTGATAGGTGTAAGATGGTATCTCCGAGTGGTTTGATTTGCATTTCCCTGGTGACTAAGGATGTTGAGCATTTCCTTTAGTGTCTTTCCACTATTTGAGATTGTTATGTTGAAAATTCTCTGTTTAGATCTGTACCCTATTTTTGAGTTGAAGTATTTGGTAGTTTGATGCCTAGTTTCTTAAGTTATTTGTATATTTTGGAGATCATTCCTCTGACAGATGTGGGGTTGAAGATCTTTTCCCATTCTGTGGGCAGCCATTTTGTCTTGTTGACCATGTCCTTTTTTACAGAAGCATCTCCGTTTCAGGAGGTCCCATTTATTAATTGTTGCTCTCAGTGTCTGTGCTACTGGTGTTCCATTTAGGGAGTGGCCTCCTGTGCCTATGAATTCAAGGATATTTCCCACTTTCTCTTCTATGAGGTTCAGTGTGGATAGATTTGTATTGACGTCTTTGATCCATTTGGACTTGAGTTCTGTGCATGGCTATAGATATGGATCTATTTGCATCCTTCTACATGTTGATAGCCAGTTATACCAGCACCATTTGTTGAATATGTTTTCTTTTCTCCATTTTATATTTTTAGCTTCTTTGTCAAAATTTATGTGTTCATAGGTGTGTGGGTTGATATCAGGGTCTTTGATTCCATTCCATTGGTTTACCTGTCTGTTTTTATGCCAATACCAAGCAGT